CCCATTTGAGGGCAGACTCGTCGTCGCGGGCCACCATGTCGACGTGCTCCGGCTTCATGGGGAGCAACCCCGGCTCGGGCTTCGGCCGGACCAGGCATAGGGAGCGCCTCGCCGGTGCGGGGGCAGGCAGTGAGGGCTGGGCGCCCTCGTTGATGATGAGGGCGCCGCTGCGAGTGCGACGCCCGAGCGGTGTCCCCTCCTGCTCGGGCCTGAGGGCCGGCGAGCCGGAGCCTGATGACTTGGACGACCCCGGCTCCATTTGCCGCAACATTGATACGTCCATTTTTGCATCATGCTTTTATATCAATATTTATTGCATTATGGGCTGTTATTACACATTATATCTCAATACTTATGGCTATTCTCTCTTATTTTATAAGGTTTACCATGAAGAGGGGGAATGCCGGCAGCTAAAATTCTGGCTGGAAAAGGAGCAAACATTGGAAACCTACGTTATTATTCAAGCCTGTGAGTTTAACATAGGAGATTATGTGTTATTATTAAACTCTCGTTTAAGAATTTTTACGGAAAATTTCTCTCTAAATGGAAAGGTCCCTACGTTATCGAGGAGGTCTATCGTTCTGGTGCCATAAAAATCAACAACTTCGAAGGCACAAGTCCGAGGGTGGTGAACGGTCAAAGAATTAAACATTATATTTCAGGTAATCCTATCAATGTTGAAACTAATATTATTGAAACCGTAACCCAGGAGGAATACATAAGGGACACTTTTCAGAACGTTCCAGACTCCGAAAAGGAATAGGTATGTGGACGGTAAGTAAACCGACTCCAAAACAACTCCAATGGCAATTTTTATCAGTTTTGAATATTTAAGAATTTTAGGAAGAAAGAAGTAGTCCGAGAGGGACACGAGGCCCCCACGAGAGTGGAGGGCGCGCCCCCTGTCTCGTGGGCACCTCGTGTGCCTCCCGGACTCCGTTTTCTTGCACGTTACGTATTTTGGTCGGTAAAAATTCATTATATATACTCCCAAAGGTTTTGACCATCGTATCACGCAAATATCCTCTGTTTTCGTTTCGAGCTGTTCCTGTTGCAGATCTAGAGCACTATGACGTCACCCTCCTCCAACAACGAAGACAAGGATGCTTGGCTATTGAAGATAGAGCTGAAAAGAGAAGAACCGGAGGAGATCAACAAGGATGAAGGGATCAAGAAGGCCATGGAGGTCCAAGCTCCGGCGGTGAAAGAAGAAGACATACCTCAACCTTTACCTAACCTCTTTACTCCAACAGAGATTGAAGCTTTCAAGATGATTGAGTTAGCTTGCATACAGAACAAGTATCTCACGCAGGAGAATATTTTGTTGAAGGATCATATCGTCGGACTCAAGGGCATTATCCGCAAGTTGGAGGAGCTTTTATGCTCGATGTGCGATTATCCACCATCATCATCACCACCTCCATCACCTCCGAGGACATAATCACATTGGTATGGGCACTCCCCTTGGCAACTACCAAGCTTGGGGGAGGTGCCCCGGTATCGTATCACCACACACTCTTATCTTTACCATTTTATTTAGTTCGATCCCTTTAGTAGTATCTTGATCTAGTAGATTGAAGTTTTAGTATCAATTAGTTTTGAGTTTTGCTTTGTGATCTCTTTATGTAATCGAGTCCGTGAGCTATCTATAATAAAGATTAGTGTTGAGTCAAGGGCTTTGCTATCTTGCTATGATCTTGAGAAAGTAGGAAGAATAAAAGAGTTCATATTGATCTTATGGTTAGTAATGACTTCACACATAGAAAGTATGGGGCATAAAAGTTGTTGAGAGTTGATAAACGTAGTTTTGGTCATCGTTGCAATTAATAGGAAGTGATAAGGAAAGAGAGGTTCACATACAAATATATTATCTTGGACATCTTTTATGACTGGGAGCACCCATTAAGTATGACATGCTAAAAGAGTTGACGTTGGACAAGGAAGACAACGTAATTGCTTATGTTTTCTCACATCTCAGTTAAAGTATATTGTCATTGACCTTCCAAACATGTTGAGCTTGCCTTTCCCCCTCATGCTAGCCAAAACTCCTTGCACCAGGTAGAGATACTACTTGTGCTTCCAAATATCCTTAAACCCAGTTTTTGCCATGAGAGTCCACCATACCTACCTATGGATTGAGTAAGATCCTTCAAGTAAGTTGTCATCGGTGCAAGCAATAAAAATTTCTTTCTAAATATGTATGATCTATTAGTGAAGAGAAAATAAGCTTTATACGATCTTGTTGTGGAAGCAATAAAAGCGACGGACTGCATAATAAAGGTCTACATACAAGGGGCAATATAAAGTGACGTTCTTTTGCATTAAGATTTTGTGCATCCAACCCTAAATGCACATGACAACCTCTGCTTCCCTCTGCGAAGGGCCTATCTTTTACTTTATGTCTTTACTTTATGCTTGAGTCGAGGTGATCCTCACCTTTCCCTTTTTCATTTTATCCTTTGGCAAGCTCCTCGTGTTTGAAAGATCATGATGTATATATCCAATTGGATGTAAGTTAGCATGGATTATTATTGTTGACACCACCTAAAGGTGAATACGTTGGGAGGCAACACATAAGCCCCTATCTTTCTCGTGTCCGGCTGAAACTCCATAACCACAAGTATTGCGTGAGTGTTAGCAATTGTAGAAGACTATATGATAGTTGAGTATGTGGATTTGCTGAAAGGCTCTATTGTTGACTCTTTCTGATGTTATGATAAATTGCAATTGCTTCAATGACTGAGATTATAGTTTGTTAGTTCTCAATGAAGTTTTTGAACCATACTTGACATTGTGAATTGATTGTTACTTGGTTATAAGATATCATATGATAAAATTTATATATGTTGCTGTTACAAGAATGATCATGATGCCCTCATGTCCGTATTTTATTTTTTTATCGACACCTATATCTCTAAACATGTGGACATATTTTTCGATATCGGCTTCCGCTTGAGGACAAGCGAGGTCTAAGCTTGGGGGAGTTGATACGTCCATTTTGCATCATGCTTTTATATCAATATTTATTGCATTATGGGATGTTATTACACATTATATCTCAATACTTATGGCTATTCTCTCTTATTTTACAAGGTTTACCATGAAGAGGGGGAATGCGGGCAGCTGGAATTCTGGCTGGAAAAGGAGCAAACATTGGAAACCTATTCTGCAGTGCTCCAAAAATCCTGAAACTCCACGAAACATGTTTTTGGAATTAATAAGAATTATTGAGCGAAAGAAATACATCAGGGGGCCCACACCCTGGCCAGGAGGGTGGGGGGCGTGCCCACCCCTACTGGGCGCGCCCCTATCTCCTGGGCCCCCTGGTGGCCCCCCGGTGTCCATCTTCTGCTATATGAGGGCTTTTACACTGAAAAAAATTGTGGTAAAGCTTACGGGACGAAACTCCGCCGCCACGAGGCGGAACCTTGGCGGAACCAAGAGCTTTGGCGGAGCTGTTCTGCCGGGGATACTTCCCTCTAGGAGGGGGAAATCATCACCATCGTCATCACCAATGATCCTCTCATCGGGAGGGGGTCAATCTCCATCAACATCTTCACTAGCACCATATCCTCTCAAAACCCTAGTTCATCTCTTGTATCCAATCTTGTATCAAAACCACAAATTGGTACCTGTGGGTTGCTAGTAGTGTTGATTACTCCTTGTAGTTGATGCTAATTGGTTTACTTGGTGGAAGATCATATGTTTTCAGATCCTTTATGCATATTATTACTCCTCTAATTATGAACATGAATATGCTTTGTGAGTAGTTACGTTTGTTCCTGAGGACATGGGTGAAGTCTTGCTATTAGTAGTCATGTGATTTTGGTATTCGTTCGATATTTTGATGAGATGTATGTTGTCTTTTCCTCTAGTGGTGTTATGTGAACGTCGACTACATGACACTTCACCATTATTTGGGCCTA